TATATATATATATATGGAAGTGTGGTGTATTTTTTTGGAGGGGGAATAAAGATTTGAATGACTACATGACAGGCTGAATATATTTTTATGGATAGTTATGGGATGTAATCTAAGAATGATACCTTTGGTGGCAGCAGAATATAATCTTTCGCCTCATTTTAGTTTTTCAAAATTAAGCAAGATGACAAAAATAAACCATTGAATCTTACCTGCCTGCCAGGATATTCTTTTATAGGTATGTGCTACACAATGAAAAAAACATTGTACTGTTGAAGAGGTTTAAGGTGCTTCTCCACCCAACCCCCGGCAACGCACTTCTTGCATAAACTTATTTCACTGAGAATTTTAGCACGATGGTGTATAGACTCACATTCCTAACAGCAGAGTGCACTCTACTACAAGAAAAACACACAGACCACAAACTTTTTCTGGCTCTTGTATGTTAGGAATGACTTCTTTTAAACAAGGGTCCTATTATGGAAAGTAGCTATATTGGATGTAGTTGTACACTATGATTCTTGTTATAATTCTTTTCTGACTAGTGCGCAATTATGTGCATGGCTAAAATAATGCAGAGGAAGGGATGAGCAACCTCGAAGAGCTCCTGAGTCATGTAGAAGACCCACAATTGCCACAGAGGACTTTATCTTGCTGGGTGAGGAAGCCCTTTCCCACCAGGGAGCAGGTGCATTGGCTGCACTTGAAGCAGTCGCTGTGCCACTGGCGCTCCTCAAAGGAGATGAACTTGCCTCCTCCAAGAGCTAAAAAGAGAAAGTAAAAGTTGAAATGTTGGGATTGCATGCAGCTTTCGGCAGATTTTGCTTACACTCTAATAAGCAGAGTTCTTTCTCCTGAAAAATCTGAGTTAAAAGTCTGAGAGAAGCGATACATCGCTAAGACAAATGACTAGTCTAGAGTTTTGTATGTTTGTTTTGCTGTTTTGGTTTTCTGGCTTGCAAACCAGAGGTGGGTTCCTACCAGTTTTGGACCTGCTCAGCTGAGTAGGTAGTAACCTGGCCGGACACATATCCAAACCAGTTCTATCGGTGGTGCCATAGGCACTGCCATCTTATTTTTTGCTTCTGCGGATGTGCAGAACAATTTTTTTCACTTCTGTGCATGAGCACACAGCGTGCAACAAGTGTGCACATGAAGCATGTCCCTGAGCGAACCGGCAGCAAAAGAAGCTGGAACCCACCCCTGTTGCAAACATATGATCCAACCATGATCTCTATGTTCTCAAATGCCTGGCTATTTCATTTTTCTCTTGAGGGGCACAGATTCTGAAAAAGAAATGATTTTAGGCATTTTGCCACAAACTCCCCACATTCATAGGCAAAACCCTGTTTGCTATCTCAGCAACGATTCTGCCCCCACTCCCATACACTGACAATAAAAAAGCAATATTTTTTTTCTTTCCTCAATTCTGCTCTTCCTCCAGCGAGCAATTCAGTCAAATGTGCTCATCCCTTTGCACTCCAAATTCTAACCTGTTGTTAATTAAACCTGCAATGTTGTGGTGTCAGATACAATGAAAAGATTAAAATTGTGTTTTCTAACAGAAAAGAAAATATTAAATATATGTATATATCCAAAAGCGAGATATAAAGGGAAGGAAAATATAGTTAGGATAGATTAACAAAGGTAAGGGAATAAGAAATGTTATCAAATTATATTTGGGTTTGCAGAAATACCATCCCAAGGAAACATAAACTGAGATCTGAAAGAGACACCTACAATAATAGAAAAGAAAAAGAGCGAGGAGGAGAGAATGAAAAAAAGATGGGGGAAAGAGGTAAGGAGAGGAGGATGGAAGGGAGAGGAAGAGAAGGAGAGAGGGTAGGAAGGGGAAGAGGAAGAGTAGGAGTACGAGAAAGGTAAGGGAAGAAGGAAGGGGAAGGAGAGGAGGAAGGAAGGAAGTAGAGAAGGGAGGGAGGGAGAAAAGAAATGGAAAATAAGGTGGTGTTACAACAGGAGGAAGGGATGGTAAATAAAGCAACCCAAACTGTATATTATAGCCTATTAAATGAAATAATAAATGCATAAGAATGATAAATGTAAAGAAAAAATCAATTATATGAATGTATACTTAAAATGGTATATGAGAATAAAAAATAAAAAACAATTCTAGGAAAAAAATATGTTTTCTACTGCCACCACATATTTCAGATCAGTTCCTCTCTAGCCTGAATATCATTTAATCTTATTCACGATGGAAAATTGTGACACTGCTTTCATGATGTAAGAAATGCAAATGCCAGCTATGCCTAGAACAAGTTTATTTGTCCCAGGACTGTCAAAATTGAAGATACTTATAAGTAAGAAGATTGTGAACAGTCACCAGTAATGGGTTCGGTGCAGGCCACACACTTCTTTGCAAAATGTCCTCTGAAGCACTCCAGGCAGTAAGGATGTTCATCTTTGGACATGAATTGATGTTCTGCAAGTTGCTTCTTACATCCAGTACATAGAAAACATTCCTTATGCCATGGCTGATCCTGATAGGTCACCCCACCATTGGTGATCATCTAGTATATGAGAAAATATCATTAGTGTAAAATGATGGATAAACATATGGTTGTACCAAAATTACATTAAATATCATCTTTCCCTGAAAACATGACCTACTGTATTTTTCAGAGTATAAGAAGCACCAGAGTATAAGATGCACCAAGATTTTGAAGAGGCAAATTAAAAAAAAAGTTTCTGCACCCTGCAGATCTCTCAAAAATGACCTGTTTTTCTGCAAAAGCAGCCCTGTTTTTTATTAAAAAAAAGGGCAGGCATAGCCTTTAGGAGCCTTGTAGCGTGCTCCTGCGGGCTGGGGGCAAAAACAAGCAAAAAATGGCCCATTTTTCACTCATTTTTGCCCTCCCCAGCTCCCAGGACCACTCTGGAACTCTCCTAAAGGCTATACATGGCCATCTTTGCAAAGGGGTTGGGGTTTCAGAAGGCCAAAAAATGCTGTATTCCATGTAGAAGATGTACCCAGATTTTCACCTTCTTTTTTGAGGGAAGGTGCGTCTTATATTCCAAAAAATATGGTACTCAGAAAATAACTCCTAGCTTGATTTTTACAAGTGCACCCAAAATAAGCCCTAATTAAGACCTTGTCCACTCCGGGGTGCATGGGTAAAAATTAAGCTAGGGTGGAAATGGGGATGGTGGAGCTGCCCTACTATTTACCTTCAGATAGTTGCAGCTAGGCCTTGCACACCTCGGCCCATTTCTTCTACAGCCAGCAAGGCTTTCCTGAAGGCCTCTGCAGCCATTATTGGCCACAGAGGCCTTCAGAAAAGCCTTGCTGGCTGCAGAAGAAATGGGTCAAGGTGTGTGAGGCCTGGCTGCAACTATCTGAAGCTGAAGAAGTTTCTGAAGGCTTCTGACAGCTAAAAGGAGGCTGGGGGGTGGGGGGTGACACACACAAATGAGGTGAGTCAGTGGATAATATTTTCCCCTCCCCAAAAATAAGACCTGGGGCCTTTTTTGGTGGCAAAAAAATATAAGCCAGGATCTTATTTTCAGGGAAACATGGGTAGCTATTACTGCTGCTTGATTAAATTTCAAAAAGAGATAATGAGAATATTGAGAAAAGCACTATAAGCAGTCCTTGCTCAGTGACCACCTTATTTAGAAACCATTTATAGATACAAACAGAATTAAAAATGTAACTTTGCAACCATCTCTTGTATTTATGACTTTGCAGGTTTGTAAAGCGAAGAAAAGCCGAAGTAAGCTTAAGGTCAATAAGGACAATTGTGGGTTCCCTTAGCAACTGCTTTGGTTAACAACTATGTTGCCAGTTGTTGACAAGTGCTAATTGGTGTTGCTAAACGAGGATTATCTGTATCAGAGTGTCTGAAGAACTAAGCTTTTTTCAATTAATATCTCCCTTTTCCTTCTTTTTAGGGCAGTGCTGAGGAAGCAACGATGCTCCAGAGGTTGATAAATTATACCGTAGCAGCTTCAACCAGCATAAGGCCATTGTGAGAGATCTAGCAGCAGTTCAACAAGATCAGGGGAGTCTCAGGTTCTCCTTTACTGCTTTAGTGAGATGGATTCTTTATCATGAGGAATATACTATGTCTTTCATAGCACTGTTAGTAGATTTGGATGCTGAAGCCCATGCTACTTTAGCTCACATCTAATTATTTGAAAACATTTGGAATATATCTAAAGAGGCATGAGCACCCAACATACAAATCAAAATAATAAGAAGAACTTGGAACTTCTGCATAAAGCGACAAACTCTTATATAGTTATGCACATGGCACAGATGCAACAAAGGCTGGTAATTTAATCCACACCTCTATGTTTTTATTAAAAGGTTTTAGGAGGAAGCCTTGATAGACGAAGCAATGATGGGAGGCCCAGCTCATCACACCCAACTCGCGACAGACAACTCACCGGCCAACTTTCCATGGCAAGTTGGAAAAATGAGCGTTTATGAAATTACTGTTGGGAAAAAAATCATTTAGTTCAAACCAGAGTAGTTGATTAAATTACCAGCCTTTGTTGCATCTGTGCCATGTGCATAACTATATAAGAGTTTGTCGCTTTATGCAGAAGTTCCAAGTTCTTCTTATTATTTTGATTTGTATGTTGGGTGCTCATGCCTCTTTAGATATATTCCAAATGTTT